ATCAAACCGATGACAACGATTTGCAACATTCAGATAATCACTCGGATATGATATCTCCGTGTAATTGTATGGGAAGTATGGCTAACGTTCACCAGCACTGCCTCCAGAGGTGGGCGTCCATCACATCGACCAACTCTTGCGATATCTGTGGATTTGCTTTCAACCATAGAGTCAAATATCCAACACTTTTGCAAGTTAGACATTATTTTCAAAATGATGGGCAACCATGTGTTTGGTGTATATAACTCATATAGGGGTATATAACTTTATAGTAAGACTAGTGGTTATAAAACGCACAATTTGGGTTTAAACTTTAAAGGTAAGGGTGGACTCGACTTTTAAATTACTTTAAGTTTCTATATCTACTCTGGTTTGTCATCACTAGGCTTACTATTGAAGCAAAGATAAATATACTGATATTTAGACTTAGATCATCACAAAACACATAAAATTTATGTAATAAAAGTTGTTTTAAATTTAATGAATACATTAGTGAATTTAAATACGATAACTTATCGTCGATTAGAATATTATTTAATTAATTTATTCTGAATAATCCAAAAAATGGAAAATCTCTTTTCTTGAAATGAGTTGCCATTGACCTCGACCTCTACATCGGTTGCCTCTCATTGCCACTCAAAACTAAGAATTTCAATTAAATTGTTTAATTTCTCATTAATTTTTATTTATTTAGTTTATTAAATGTATGATTAGAGACCAATATTTTAAGAAAGAGTTAATAATCGCATGGATTGTCATAATAATGGCACCGCTTATGATGACAGCGACTCTATTGTTAGTATTGGTGAGAGAATCCAACGCCAAACCAATCACTTATATAATCGATGGTCTCTGCACTCTGACTGCAATTCTTTGGATTTTCTATTTTGCATTATTTTTCTATACCATTCGGTATGATATGAGTGCTCTTTAATACAGTAAATTCAACACTTTTAATGAATTACTCAATTTATAGATATTTATTTGATATAACCCTTTATATTAATAGTCTATTACAGTAATAGTAAAAGATTTTAAACCGTAGTTAATTAATTTTGAGAAGCAACCAAGTTACTCTAACTTGTAGGGAATATAAAGAGTTTGCCTCATAAATTCACGATTAAAATAATAAAACTATGAAACAGTACAATACATTTTTCTGTAGCAATAGTGCCATCATTTTTATCTAAATATTAATCTAATTTCTTAAGTGTTTTATTTATATTTTAATACTTTATATATAAGTTAAAATATATTTATTTACACAATCAATAGATTCTTCAATAAATTGTTTATCAAATGGCGAAATAATAATTCAATAACTGAATTGGTTTTGAATCATAAAAAGGTATAAAATTATTTTTTTATTACGCTATTCTTACCGAATTATCTCAATTATAGTATCTATTGTATCTAATACTGTATTATACTTTTATATTGTATAGATCATAAATAAAATATAACTTGTAAATATACTGTACACTATTATGAATTCTATGATATAAAGTGCAATCGTGTATAAAGGCAATATACTAACTTATTGTAGGCCTTAATTAAACATACTGTATTTATTGTGAACAAACATATACAAAATATATAACAAATTCAAGGAGGACAATTTTATATCTGATTTATAAATTAGCCCATTGGTCACATGTCATGTTGTTTACCCTGGTCATTAATTGATTGTAAACATAAGAATATTGTACATGTTTTAATGAGACAAAAATGAATGAAGTCTTACAGCGCTATCAATGTATTCATGTAATTGTGGAGACATTCACTGTTTTGCATACATTCATAGCACAATAAGCATTGCATTCATTTGTATCATATTAAAACTTGTATTCTTATTTCTATACTCAATTTATGGCCAGGGTAAAACACAAATAGACAATTTATAAATCTGTTATAAAATTTTCTTAAATATTATATTTTGTTATACATTTTGTATAAGTTTGTTCACAATAAATATTTTTACCTAATTAAGGCCTACAATAGTTATATCGGTATAACTTATATTATATTAATAGTACCGTAATTCTAATGTAATATAAAATATAATATTATATACTGTATAATGGTAAATGCCGTTAATAAGTTATTATTATTAACTTAATAACTAACGGTTTACTGAATAAATATATATTGTATACTAAAATGTAATTATTTTCATAAATTTGTAAGCATATAATGTAATAGAAATAACAAATATTTATTTTAAATAAATACAAAGTAAAGATAATTCATAAAAATTATTAATAATAAAATTCAAGTCTTTCAATGATATGGAAATTTTTACAGAAATAATGCATCCATTGCTTAAAAACAGTTAAGTATCAAAAGAAAAGATTGTATGTATTTCTTAATCATTAAGCCGTATATTATTGGATATAAAATTATATAAAATAAATTATTACATAAAAAATGTTAATTTTATCAACAAATCTTATAAATTATGTTTAAATATGAATATTAATTTAATTCGTTTTTAAGTCATAATAAGGAATAGACTTTGTTATAAAGCGTTAAACAAAATATGACATTTAAAATGAAATAATGAGGGCAATTTGAACACTATAGCTAAAAAAGTATTATTGGGGATATGTTTCACATATTTAATTTGTTAGACAAAATCCAATCTGCGATTTAGTGGTTTAATGTTATAAATAAAAATTTTATTTCTTATTCGTTAATTAAATTTCTTTTAGAAAATTTATTTTATAGAAATCTTAAAAAAATAATATATTTACTAAATATCAAAAGCATTTTCAAAATGAATATCAAATAAAATTATTTATAAAACAATATACCGTAAGTTTTGTTCATTACTTTTCCCTGTATTGAATCAAATTAGACATAACTTTCCGGAATGACTAACTTTTTAGGATTACTTTGTTTTCGCTTTTTAGACGAAGACATTATAGACTCACATATCGTATAATTATTGCTTTCGGATGGGAACTGATTGTCGTCTAAATTATTATTACTAGTAATAGAAATATCTTTTACATCTATATTACAATTATTGCGATTATTGACATCAATATTACGACAATCACTTGAGATATGATTGAAATGTTGAGTCGAGTGGACAATAGGCACGACTGGTGTGACAGCCGTTCGCTTTCGATGGCTAATGAAATCGCGGCGCATATGAATGGGTCTGTTCTTGAGGTGCAGCTTGAAGTACAGGCCACACGCGTTGCACACCGGCTGTCCCGACGGGTTGCGGCGCCATTCACTCGACACCGTCACTCCACAGTTGCTGCACGACATGTCCCGTCCCTTCTGGTCAATGGGCATACGAATCGGTATTTAGAGAAACGTGTCATTAAAATACATTTAAATTACTTTTTTAAAGCCGCTCTTCGAGTCGTTGGACGTGTTGTCCTCCAAAGGGTTGAATTGTTTGGAAGGAATTCCGCAATCATTGCACAGATAGTGACCAAAGTATGCGCCGAATTGGGTGACGACATTAGCACCACATTTGGCGCACTGACGGAAACAATCAGTGATTGTCGATACCGTTCTCTCTCTATGCATATCACTGTACGAAGAGATTATCGGTTCGGCAGCCGAGGACTCACTCATTAATGAAAGACTCGATGGTTTCGCAACGGATGGACTCTTCACACGAGAAAACAATTATCAATAAAACAAGAAAAAGCAATAATTTTTGTGGTCATAGTGTAGTGCGGGGAATGTATGGCAAGTCATTTGATGCTTACATTTTGTTTGAAATCAATGGGTTTTTCGTCGTCAGTCGACTCCATGTTGTGTTTAATTCTTGTATTAATAATAGATTTTAACTTTCGCTTCACTTTCTTGGTCTTCGCCACAAAAGGTTTATAAAAATCACTTTTTTGTGTCACACCTACTGGTGGGTCAACAGCGCTGTCGTCGGTGGTGTGCGGGCCGGGGGTCTCATCAGACAAGTGGCCATTATTTGCAACAATTTTTGAGTAGCGATTGCGAGGGTAGACGACATCCTTTCGCATTTCGATGGGTCTGTATTTGCCGTACAGCTTGTAGTAGAGTCCGCACGCATTACAGGCCACCTCCTTATTGGCCGTCCGGCGCCACATCGACGACGTAAGGGTCCCGCAGTTTGAACACTGTTTCGGTGCTGAACACTGTCCACAACACCACAAGACATTATATTAGCATTACATGGCATAAAGGGCTCACTCAAGGGTTAGGGCTTTGAATGAGAAGTGAAGTCATAATATATTTACATTTTTCTTGCGACTGACCACAAGACTGGCCGGCGGTCTGTCCTCTCCGTTGTACTTCTTGTAGAGTCCACAGGCGTTGCAGAGGTAGTGTCCGCTGCCATTAGTGCGCCACTGACTGGTCTTCTGAGTGGAACAGTTGACGCATTCCCTCATGAGTGAGAGGTCGACCCCATTGGCACCGGTGGTGTCGTCGGTCACAGGCATACACTCGCTGTTGTCGTCCGATTCCTGTGACAGACAATAGTCGAGACTATCGCCGAAGACGGCCACTCTTTGGCCTCTTAAGCGCTGGTATTGTTTGCGCCGTTGTTTGGCTTCATTAGGAGGCAATCGGTTGGCGTTCACCTCATCGGCCGAGTCGTTGCTATTGTCTCCGTAGTAGTGGTCGTCATAGGAGGTGATCATCAGGTGTGGTGTCTTTGGCATGAGTTGGTTATCGCGCATATCTTCAGCCATTTTCTTATTTATGTGTTTATTGTCTCGTCGTTTGACTCGTTGGTGAGATTGTGGTTATCTTAGAGATAATAAGCCATCAAATGAATGCCAGTTATCTCTATCGCCACAAACCATAAGAAACTTATAGTTCTTATCGACAGATAATAAGCCATTAAATGGCATTCAATTATGGGTTGCTTTCATTGCTATCATATCATATGCTATGCAATCGTTTTATTCATTAAACCTTTCAATAAATATGAGAATTCATGTAAATATATATCAAAATGAATACCAAATTAATGACTATTTCATTAGTAATCAACTAATCATTGCAAACACATTGCACTGTAGTCTTAATCAATGCAAACATCTGTAGACATGTGTAGACATTGAACAACATAAGCACCCCTTCACTGGTTCAGTGCAACACTCACTGCCTGAGCCTTCCTGAGCCTCACAACTATTACATCATTTAGAAGTATCTCATTGTCTCACTCCATGTCCACAGACACTGTCACTCTCACCGATGGCACACTGAGACCACTTATATTAGCATTGATTGTATTGAATCTAATTGTATTAAGCATACAAACTATATTGTATAAACACCTTCATATTTACAGGCAAACAGTTTAGCATACAGTACTACTCTATTTGCATATTAGCCTTGCTAGTTTCCGTATAAGAATCTAAGAATCATTTCTATACTCTATGAATACGATAATACATCTTACAATTTAGTTCCTTTCTACAAAA